TGTACGGTACAGTACTTCACAAAATTAAATAAATAAAGCAAATAGAAGTCAGACAGAAAGTGTTTTTGTAAAAGTTTCCAATTTGAAACTTTAGTCAAAAATGTGTTATGGGGATTAAAAAGAGCCAGTCAGCCACACTGAAAAATTAAATTATAAAAAATTTAGTAAATGTGGTCTGCAAGTTATCTATTCTTTATTTTACTAGAAATGTTAATATATAAAAGGCAAAGATAATTAAAACTGTAAGTTATTTCAAAAGAAATGGTAAGAAATGACACAAATATCATATATGGTGGAGTTTATTTATGTTCTGTTTATCACAAATTCACATTAATAGAATGATATAATTCACTATATTTTTAATTATTACTTGTAATATCTTAGTAAACCTGATGGGGAAAAAATTTAAGATGGCAAAAGTATTTCTAAGCTTTTTAACCTTTTCCAGCCCAGGCATTCTGAGTTGCACTCAGGTAAAATGTGCAACATCAAATATTTGTGTATCCCTACAAATTTTCTCCAAATTAAAAGTGTAACTGAAATCTTGAGGTTTTAAACTTTCTTTTGATTATGTTTTATTAATACTTGATTTAGATCAAATAATTATAAAAATTCAAATATTTTACCCTAATTTTGGATATCAAGAATCCTTTTGGAATTTTTATTCAGGTCATGTAAATAAATAAACTTCACACCTGCACAGAGACAACTTGTCAAAAAATGAAACAAATTGGAAATGGGTAAATTTAGAAGAAATTGGAAATTTACATTTAGCAAAGATTGAATTTTTGAAGTTGATGATGTCAAGATCTGTAAAATTGAACTATCCACACATTTTATATTATAACTTTCTTGTTTTTAAAGTTGTTAAAATCATAAATATATCGATTAAAATTTTGGATTATTTTCTTTCTTGTAATCTCTTGTCCATAGATCTCCCTTTCTTCCTTATATGGAATAGAAATTTCCAAACATTTTTGTTAAGTAAATCACAAGACTTGTTATCCACTGTGCTAGAAAGTGTAAGTTATTAATGGATTTGTATTGCTTGGTTGCTATGGAAAGGTAATGAATTAAGAGGTCTTCATGTGTGTTTGTTTATTTTGTTTAAGTAATTGCTTTGGAAAATCAATTTCTGCATACAGAAACTCTCCTATGGTAATTTGATACCTAATGAAGAAGATAATTGTTATGATTTATTCATAGTCACAAAGTCAATGAAAAGGGGAAATAACACAGACCACATGCTCCATTATGTGTTCTAGCCTTTACAGTTTGAAACAGGATAAAAATAGATATTTCATTGCACCATTTTGTTTAACAACATGGTTAACACATGATGTATTACTCGTAATGACTGTTTGCAACTTTCTTGCTGTACAATGAGGCCTACATTATTTTTGCATATATTTGTTAGAATAAAATAGATAATAAAACAAATGAAGATTTTGTTCAAAGATATTAAACTAATTTAAATGTTGAATGCATGCAAAATGTCCATGGTTATTGTGATGTATGGTTGAAATATCTTTCTATTCAGATTTGAAGCCTTTTTTGAGGAATTCATTTTTACTAATGAAAGGGCAAAGGTGGCATAATCCCATATAGGGACAGCTAAACAATTAATATCTTGGTTGTAAGACAATGTTTTTAATATTATGTTTGAATGCTTGTAGGGCAGTATATAAAATTTTCATCTGCCTTTTTGTGGGTATCTTGAGGTGTGTTACAGAATAGATTTTCATCACATGCATAGGTATGTGGTTTTCTATGAAATTATATAATATTCCTAAATAATACTATTAAATTTTGTGGGACATATTTTTCTTAGATTATATTGAAGGACAAGAAGAACAAGACCTTGGAACTCAGTTCACAGAAATTTATATCAAAAGAACAGAGAATGTAACTCTACTATTAGATTTACTGGAGGTAAGAGACTTCAATTTTAGAGCTACATTATGAAGCTTATACTTAATATAGGAAAGCAACAATTTTTTTACAGTAGTTTAGGATATGTATGGAAGCATGGAAGAGGACGTGAGTTTATAGAAGATTTAGTCACCAAGATTACACAAAATATATGTTATCATAGCAGTGGCTCTCATTGCTTGATTTACATGTGTTTTTCAGTATATTTCTGTATGTAGAAACCAATATCTCACTTCTCCGGTGCAAAACTAACATATTGTTAATATAACAGAGGTTATAACTTCTGAAAGCTTACTACGGAACTTTTAACGAACCAGTGTGCCATTATTATTATGCAACAATACTACTGGAACATGTCATACATTATTTAATTTCTAATGTTAAAAAATTTAAGGTGGCTTTAAGGAACTTTCACTTATTGGTCCCAGCTAGCTTCTTTAAGCATATTTTGCCTATTTTGTTTACAGTTCTTACTACAAAGTGAACACAAGTAAACCATCTGATATACACAGAGGTTGAGTACATTATATTAATTAAAATGAATTTAGAGCCTCACCACATTATCATAGTCATTTCCTCATGTCTGGTCATGATCTATCTGATGGTCATGCATTTTGACACAAGCCCTGTAGTAAAGTTTACATTACAAAAGGTTCTGTTATAAGGCTATTATAACAAAAGCACACTACTTTTCCCTGCATTCTTTCCATAAGGTATCTAGCATATGAAGATGATGATTTCCAAGCACCCATTTCAACAGGCTCATCACATACAAATCATTATGCATTCCATCTAGTGACTTGAACAGTATGTCTTCATATGGAATCAACATGAACATCTATTTTATTTTACAGCTCCTTGAGGTATGCAACTGTTGAATGGATATGTTAATGTACTTGTGTACATATGACTTTTGTCACTTTTCCAGATGGATATCATTCTTGATTATGTTGTGTACTCAGATATGGGGACAACTGTAGTCACTGAAATTGTTTATTCATGGATTCTCACAGGTAACAAGTCACTGCACTCCGCAAACCACAGCTGGGGTACAATGTGTTATGATTGTCTTTCTGGATTGTTCTGTTGCCAAAGTTGATCCATATTCCAATGCTTTCCAATAATATTAAGTAAAAGGGATATTTGAATATTGAAAATTCTTAATCCCTCGTATTAACACATATTTATGACCTGATTGTATGAATATTTTGCACTGGAAAAAGTTGTTACAAACCCTTCCCAAAAGCAATCAGTTTTCAGTGGCATCACATTACCTTGAAATATCAAACATTGTCAAATTGTAGTTCTGATGCATCCCATTCCACTGTGACTTTATATTGGCTGTGGTTATCACGTAACTTGCTAATTTGCATATTTTTTTGTTTCATGAAGGTACTATATTTATAATGGATGACTTGGATTGCACATTTATATAGATATCCCCACAGGAAAAAGACCCTTGAATACAAGAGAATTAGTATCCATGGCATCTTTACTGAGAGGTCATAAAGAATTTGTCATAAATATCCAGTTAATTATATAAATATTGAAGTGGTTGTTTAGTGTAAATATTATTTTGAACCTTTAGGATTGATTTACCCAAGTATTTGTCTAAAGATTTGCATATTGCTGTGATAATCATTTTATTTAAAACAATGTTAAATATTGTTAATTTAAAAGGGGGTATCTTCAGAAAAATACAGAAAGAAAATGAGTAGCTTAAAGTGAAAATGCTAAAAAAAAGGTAAACAAACAAGCTAAAGGTTTTATACATAGTGTTGACATTATTTCCTTAAGCTACAAGTCCTCTCCTAAATATTACAGCTTTTAGACATGGAGTCAAAATAAAGATTTGTAGCTTAAGGAGATAATGTAAACATGTATATATGAATTTTTCAAGTTGTATAAATGCATACATATATATATATTCAATGCAAATATAAGACAGTGTGTCATAATATAACAGGATATGTACACAAATATATCCTTTTTTAATATTTTTTATAGTTGTTCTAATTCCCCCTTCCTCTTCCTTTTCTCTGCTGGCCATAGTAAGGCCAGTCATGGTTTTGCTACAGCAGGCTAGATTTCCTGTTAGAGTGACATTCTGCACACTATACAAAGTCAAAAACATGCTATTTAACAATTACGAATTGATTATATTAATATAA